TCGCACATGCGTACCAATTCAATGGATTGTGATCGTCGCCAGGATTAGTCCAAAGCATTGGAACACCGAATGGCATAGATTCACGTCTTCTATTTTTCCAATCCATTAGACGATTGTAACAACTTTTACACACTAGGTATATTTGGCATCGAATTTTTGTTCACTATAACATTTTGGTGGAAGTACATCTCGTATGTTTGAACAAAATATGCACTGAAATTTCCGTTTTTTTCATGTTTTGGTACATATTTACCGCAGCAATAGCAAAAGCTATTTATATCTGGCTTGCACACTTCCATTTTTTGCGTTAAATTGAATGTTTATGTCCATACAAAATTTGAAATACGTATTCCACATAAGAATTGTTTTATTATTTTGTTATAATAAAAAATATTCAAATACATCCATTGTTGTGGCAACCTGCCCGCAAACTACGTCACACCATTTTCCACACCCCGCAATGACAGCTAACAGGGTGCTAACTTCTGATGCCGAAAGAGAAGATGTTGCTGCCTCCATTGCACATTAAACTTGGAATTATTAAGAATTTCGTCAAAACTGTTGCCAAACGAGATACAGTTTTCTTGAGTTTGAAATTAATTTACGAAATTAAAGAAATTAATTAAAGAAGGCAGTTATAATAACATTAATTTGTTCAATTTCGTGGAAATTTCCAACTTTCCCAAACATATTTCTCATGATTTTCTATCGCAATAAATTGTTTTTTTCCATCAGGCTACTAAATGGTCCAGATATACGAAAGCTTATTAAAAGTGACGCATTCAACAATATTTTGATTGACGCTGAATTGGCTGTTTGGAAGGCAATTAAAGAAGTAATAGAAGGCTTGTTGGGAAAGCATCGTTCTAGCAACTACGATGTTGCTGTCGCCAAGATGTTAACATCGTTCTCGAAAATTGGCGTCCACATGTCCTTGAAAATTCACTATTTACATCATCACCTGGACTACTTCAGCAGATAATTGGTCACTGAATCTGATGAACAAGGCGAACGCTATCATCAAGTTGCTATGCCATTTGAAATTAGGTAATATCTATGAGATTTTTTTTCAAACTCATTTTAATAAAAAAAAAATCACAGATACAGAGGAAAACTGTCGCCGAGTGCAATACTTGCGGAAATTTGCTAGTGGAGTAGACATGTCTTCGAAGACATGGATTATCCTGATGATGAAGAATTTTCAGAAGTTGCAGTAGGGTCAGCAATGGAGTTATAAGTTGACATTATGTGTGGCTTAGAAACTGATGACAGCGATGATTGCGATAGCGATGACATTACCCCCGAACAATCACCATCGAAAAGGCCTAGACTCTAGAGCAAGTTTATCCTTAATTTTTGTTAATTTTCATCAAATCAATACTCTTCGAGCAGGAAGACTCAGGTCTATAGCTCTTTTGGACTTATCTTATCTTTGTTTTATACAGGGTGAGTCAGAAAGAATGGGAAATCCGAATACCGGAGACACTAGACACCAAAATATGACGATTTAACTTAACATGTCTTATACAAATGTCGGTGGTTTTTAATACACAGGGTGTTGAAAGTTAAATTTTTATTTCCAAATTTCTCGATAATTTTGAAGGTTTTTGTACTATTAACGTAAAATTTGGTAGTTAGATGTTTTCGAGCATGAGAAATACGAATTTGATATTTGTTTTGTGATTACTCGTAGAGCACGCTAGATACACACTGCACGTTTGAGATATCAAGTCATGACTACCGTATTTTCTCGAATCTTATCCGCACTCGAATCTAATCCGCACCCCGATTTTAAAAATGCATAGTGGTAAAAAAATTTAGTTTGTAGAATGTAATCCGCATCTTTCTTTGAGCAATTCGACAACACCAAAACGATGCGATGCTTGTTGTTAACCATAAATATATATTTTTCTGTTGACTGACACTGATGTACCTAAAGAAACCTTGCTTACGACGAGTTTTTATTAGACTAGACTTTAAATTTACCAAGCCAGAAACAATTGGAAAATAAATATAATTTTAAAAATCAGTAGTAATGCCTAGCACGAATGCCGTTCATATACTGCCCTCGTAGTAGCTCGAACGTGGTGTGTGCTTAATTATACATATAATAGCGTAATTATAAAAAAAAGTAGCAAAAATCTAAAAGGTTCTTCTATACAGCAAAGTTTAAAGAGATGTTATTAAGTTAGCGTTAAGGAAATCGAAAAGCTGGTACAATTTTTGCTGATAACGAGAGTAACGTTGCAGCTGTTGCGGAAAGACCAGGTAGCTATTGGAGACTGTGAGGCATCGTGCAAAAAATTTACCGGGCCAAAGAAGAGACGATTTCATGAAATTGACGAGGCAGTTTTCTAGTTCTCTCAAGAAAAACGAAAAGAGGGACTAAAGAATTTTTAATACTAGCTCCCAAAAGCGCCTAATGATTTTCAAGAAAATTTCAATTTGTCTCAAACTGTAAATGTCAACAAAATGGTAGTATATCTGGATATGCCACCCAACTACACACTGGAAAGAAGAGGTGTGTGGGAAATTTCTTTATAAACGAATGGTTGCGAAAAATTGCGCATCACATTGATGCTAGCAGTAACAAGTGATAGGGAAAAATTGCTGACATTACTACTATTGAGAAAAAAACCATTCTGAAATCTGAAAGACTTCCCGAATGAGGTCCTAGTTAGGGCACAACAAAAAGGATGGATAATTGAAAAGCTGATGATGGAATGATTAAGACAAGTATGGAGTCGTAGACCAGGAAGATTATTAAATAAGGATATTAATTAATCATAGATGATTGCCCTTGGTTTAGACTTCTTGTCACAATAATAATACCTGGTGGAATAACATCCATACTACAACCTGTGTATGTATATGTATATTAACAAACTCGAGAATTAACAAAACCGGGAGCAATTAAAGGAGCTTCTGAACTTGTTCAGTGAGTGTAGGCGACATGGAAAACGATCCCTGAAAACAATATTATAACATCATTTAAGAAGTTTTGTATAATCCGAAGATGACGTAATATGGGAAGAAAATGATACATAAAAATGTAAATATCGTTCTAAAACCCTTAATAAAGTGTTATTGTTATAATGTGATTTTATTTTACTATTTTCCAAATTGCAACTATACGACTGCGAATCTAATCCGCACCCGATTGTAATCCTCATTTGATTTTAGAGCACATAAAATTTGTAAAAAAGGTTCGGATTACATTCCAGAAAATACGGTATTTTGTCAGTTGAGGTATGGTGAATTAGAACCAGAAATCTGAAGGAGTTTTCAATTCTGCTCAAAAAAGGTACTCTTGCTTACATTGTCTAAGTCTACTGGTTTCCAAGTTATTTGCTTTTAATTGTTTCAAAGTAACATTCAAATAACACACAGTAACTATAGCAATTAGTAACGATAATAATCGATAACAATAACAATTAATTAATAACAATAGAATATTGTGACCATTTTCAAAAATCCAGTGGACTTAAATCTGGATTTCTCACTATTAAAAAACTCATTATGTCGTGGCATTTTCAAATTGGTAATAACTTTATTGTTGGTAAAAATGATTATTGCACACGGAAATTAGATCAATGTTGACAATTAACAGGCAATTGTCGAAACATAAGCGGAAAAATAACCCAACTTTGCTTATGTTAAAAAATAAATATTTTAGAAGAAAAAATACATTTAAACATTTAAAAGTAAATAATTCGAAAACCGATAGACTTAGATAGACAAAAAACTTATGATTTGATTTATCAAAGGAGCAGCGTGTATCTAGCGCCCTCTACGAGAAATAACAAAACAAGTTTCAAATTCGTATTTAAATTCGTATTAATAGTACAAAAACCTTCAAAATTATCAAGAAATATCTATTTCGAAGAATTTAACTTTCAACACCCTATGCCTCGAAAACCACTGACTGTATAAGAGATGTTACGTTAAATCATCATATTTTGGTGTCTAGTATCTCCGGTATTCGGATTCCATTCTTTCTTACTCACCTGTATATGTATTTTTTTTATTTATTCGTATTTGTTATTATTTTTATATTCCAAATAAATATTGTTTTGTCTCTCTAATATAGTACTACTATATTACTATATACCTATATTAGAATACTTTTTTATAGTTACAATTCGTAGAACTCTCGAGTAAAGATGTTATTTTTCAAAGAGAATTTTTTTTTTCGAAATTTGACAATTTTTTTAAGATTTCGGTCGATAAAATTAGTCCAACTTAATTTTTTACTTGGATATATTAACGAAAATTATTTATTTAAGCCTTAGTCTTTACTGAAGAAGGAAATGAGAAATTATCAATGATTCTTGAGTTATAACTGAAAAACTAAGCAAACAAACATCAAGATAAGGAAAGAAATATAAAAGGTTATAAAAAAAAAGTTTAGGCTGAGAACGCCAAACCCTTTGGAGGTTTTACTATACTGGCCCAGTACTTTCATCCTAACTTGGAATTTCTCACCCCCCAGACAATGACCCCGAAAATGTTCCACAGTGTAATTGCTGTTAATATTTATACGAATACTTTTTCGATTTTTAATATTNCCTTTGGAGGTTTTACTATACTGGCCCAGTACTTTCATCCTAACTTGGAATTTCTCACCCCCCAGACAATGACCCCGAAAATGTTCCACAGTGTAATTGCTGTTAATATTTATACGAATACTTTTTCGATTTTTAATATTGTAATACAATTTTAGATGGTATAAAATGATTTTAAATTTTATTTACGTTCTCCAACGATTGTAAGACGACTTTAGACCCAACCAAATCACAATGCATTCGACCACTGTCTACACCGTTTAATTCTAATTCCGCGACGGAGCTAAAACGAAAATTGCTCCAGTGACCTTTTTCATGACAATTAGAACGGTGCGTGCGACACCCACAAAAAATGACAAAAATATGAACCGAAAATTATTCATAAAAAATAAAATATTCGTTATCTCATTTTTTGTCACTTCTTGTTTTTCTTACCTCTTTGTTCCAATTTAAAATGTACGGTATTGGAATGTCTTGGGGAAATTCGAGATCGCAATCGAAAAGTGCGTATTCTCCTACGGCGGCCGTAAGGTAAACGGGTTTCTTTTCCTCTTCATCAAAATAGGCGTCGGCCTTCCTCTGCCAGAAGCAAATCAGCACAACAAACACTGCCACCGACCGGTACATAGTTAAACGTTAAAATCCATGCAGAACTCGAGTGTCGTTTTGGATGCTGTTACGATGGTGCCCTACCAAAAACGTTTTTCAAATAGCCTTTGGAAGGGAGGGAGCTAACAAAAGTCTCATACACACGTCTAAAGTGAATGAATAAAAAGAATTTCATTTTAAGTTCATATTAATTAGATTATATGATTCATATTAGATATTTGTAGTTTTATAAAACGACTTTACTTAATTAAATATTTTCGGTATTTAGGTGCCTAAGTGACTTAAGAGGTTATCATTAAAGGTTAAAGATCAAAAAGTAAGTTCGAATGCGGTTAAATAAATTGATTAAGGATAATTTAAATGTAAGTGATGATGTTGACACGATTTTCTTTTTTAAATACTATAGAAATGAAGATGTTTACTAAAAAAAATGTATGATACGAAGGCGGAAAACGTAAATTACAGTCTGCGGGACTTAACTTACCAATTACGCTTATTACCGACCATCTAGTTTTATTACCCGCCCACCGTCGCCGAAGAAGTTGGTCAGATTTCTAACTCTATCAACATAAATTCTTTTTATAAAAGAAACTACATTAATACATTAAGAAATAATTAACCCTATATAAACTTGTTGTACTTTAGAAATAGTTACAATAAAAATTTAAGAATAATTTTGCATAATATTAATATAATTGATTGCGAATGATTGTATTTTTTCATTTAACTATTAACCATCGTGTTGGGAGCATTTTCATCCGGTTAAAACCTTTTCGTCTAAATGAACTACGTGAATGGGCTATTATTCGATTTAATTATTTGAATTCTACCTGCTATTGTAATGAGGGCAACAATAAAACGTATTGTAGAGTTGTATTTTATTTATAAAAGCTGGCGTAACACATTTTATATGTTATAATGGAAAGTTAGTTTCAAGTGGAGGAAATCCACCTATGCGAAGTTAGTAGATATAATTCGATAAGATTATTTGATAATATGTAATAACCGATTTTGATAATAATAATAATATATATATTTATTGCCCAACAAAGTACCAATTACAGGACAATATTACACAAGAATCAATTAAACACTAAGCCTGTACATTCTTTATAGCGGAGCACTAGTCTGCACGTTAGTTCTACTATTCTTCAAATAGAAGACACAGCTGTATTGGGATAGTCAGTGCCACGAACAGGATAAGCTCCATCCACGCGAAAGGAAAGGTACTTTAAAAACCCTTTTTGAATTCTCCCCAATATAAGACGATGCGAGATATAATGCGGTGACTAGGGCTTGCAATACGGGAGCAAAATCTCAATACCGGTATTCGGTATTCAAAATTTTTTAAATCGGGATACCGGTATTAATACCGGTATTACTACAAAAAAGTTTACTCACTAAATTACAATCACTAAATATATCTAATTGTAAGAATTTTTACCCTCAGCGGCGTCATCTCTACCAACAACAGGTTAATTCCTACTATATGTTTAAATTGGCAACAAAGCATAAGATACAGAATCTAAGCAGATAATCAAAAAATTAAAAGATATTAAGAATCTGTACAAAGTGCCAATAAACTTAAAGATCTGGATACCATTATTGTTTTGTTGTCTTTCACTTGATCCAAAGGTTCAACTTCACTGCCGCGTCAAAAAATGAAATTACACTTCATCATCTGATGCTCTGTGGAATTCTTTTGAATTCCTGTTTTGGAATTTTCTGGAAAGGTGCAGATTCAAGAAAGAAACTTTAACATAATGGCTCTTGGTAGTTTGTCAGACTTATCATACTACTGTTATACTTGGTGGGACATTACACGAATCAAACTGACCTGAAATACCATTATGGAGTAAAAACTCCAAAAATAGTTGTATGCAGAGACTATTTTATTGTTAGATAGATATGACAAATTTATTGTACACGAACATTAAGTTGTCGTCATCAAAGGTTGAGTCTTCGTTATCTTCAACATTCTGTCAAAGTACAAAATGATATTTCTTGTAGATGGTGTTCCCACTGATCAAAAAATGTCACTTGAAACAATGAGGTTAGTACGGACATAAGATAGATAACAAATTTCTGTTTGGTCAACATCATTTTCCAGCACAGCTTTAAACAAACACGGCCGTTTTCAATCGGACGCTTCCGGCTAGCATTTTTTTAATGAAACATCAAAAAATTTCAAATGTAAACTTAGAACGGACAGAAAATAGATAACAAACACGAATCCTCTACGTCATTTTCCAGCACAACATCAAACTAGCACGGCGGTTTTCGAAGACATCGGCCGCCCCCGGCCATCGAGGGCACTAAATAAAAATAATACCGAAATACCGGTATTTTGCCATCACTACCGGTTTATAATACCGGACAAAAGTTGTCCGGGATCCCGGTATTGCAAGCTCTAGCGGTGACCATACAACAGAACCATATTCCAGTTTCGGCAGAACAAGCGCCCGAAAAAGCGATGTGTATATAGCAGAATCCGTGAATAAACGTGAAGTACGGAGCATAAATCCAAGCATCCTCGCAGCACAGGAAGCGACATCCGTTACGTGCGGTAAAAAGGATAGTCTGCTATCAAAAGTTGACTAGTTAAGAACAGAAGTGATCCAAGTAACATTTTTCAGAAAACTGAGTTATGTCACTTTTTGAACTTCTCTGTCATTACATTAGTTAATGCAAAAGTAATGGAAATACTATTGAGCACTCTTATTAACAAAGTTGTATTTGTGACATTTTTGCACTGTCCTAGAAATATAAAATGATTAGTGCAAATGTGATCTAAGTTACTTGAATGCTACTTGGATTCCTTCACTGTGGATTTTAACCTACATTAGTGCAGAAATAATCCATGTCGATTTATTTTTTTTATTTTTCATTCCTCTTTTGGTACGTCATCACGACGCCATATTGTCTGATTTATTGATAAAAAATTTTGAAATTAATATTTACACGCAATTAATTTATAATTTTCTAATGAGGGATTTAAATGATTAATCATGATAAAATACATACAGAAGTAAAAAGCTTTGAAAATTAAAAATGTAAATTAAGTGTAGGTATTGCAAATAGTTTGTCAATCAAACACTGAAATTTTAATGACATTTACATTTTTCATTTTCAAACTTTTTATGAGTGTACGTGTTTCGTCATTATCTCTGTTCTAAAAGCTTGCGTCGATTATCTTGCTGAACCTGTAAGTAGTATTATAAACCTGTCATTTGGTTCTGCAAATTATCCACACCACCTGAAAAGAACCTTAGTAAGGCTATTGTATAAAGAAGGTGACAAATCAGACTTAAAAGCTACATTTACAAAAATCAAATACTGAATGAGTCACAAAATGGCTATATTGAGGGTAGATCTACAACCAGAGCAATTTTTCAGTTGATGGAAAAAGTTCTAATTGGAATAAACAATAACGAACTTACCGGTTGCATAATGATGGATCTAACCAAAGCGTTTGATAGTGTTCATCACGACACCCTTTTAATGAAGATGGAAGCAATGGGAATTCGAGGTATTGCGCTAGAGTGGTTCAGATCTTACCTCACAGACAGGGAACAGTGTGTTATCGCTTATGATCAAAAGGGAAATGAACTAGCATCAAAATGGGTACGGGTTCTACAAGGAGTGCCGCAAGGATCGATATTGGGACCGTTTCTATTTCTCTTATACATCAATGATCTTCCTGGAGTAATTGATGATTTACTAATATTATACGCGGATAACTCTACTACAGTATCAACTGCGAAAACGGAACAACAATTGTCAGCACAAATACAAAATAACCTCAGTTTACTGTATAACTGGTTTTCTAACAACAACCTTCAACTTAATATTGAAAAAACAAACATTATGATGATTGGGAGTGGTGCAGCGACCAACTGTGACATCAATTTGCAATTCAATGGCAAACAACTTACCCGTGCAGAAGAGGTGATGTTCTTGGGTGTTAAAATTGATGTGAATCTTTCATGGAAACAGCATATTAACGATTTAGCTATCAAGATAAATCGGGCGTGCTATGCGTTGAGAACTATTTCGCGGGTAGTTTCAGTGCAAGCGGCTACAAGTGCGTATTACGCATGTGTTGAGTCGCGACTGCGGTATGGGGTCATTTTCTGGAGTCATTCGGTTGATTTAAGTCGTATCTTCATAGCGCAGAAGAAATATGTTTGAGAGCAGTTTTCGGACTTCAAATGAGGGAATCGTGTAAACCCTTTTTTAAATATTATAAAATTCTGATAATGCCGTCGTTAGTGATTCTTGAATCCGCAATGTTTATAAAAAATAACTATACTTTCTTTAAAAAATATGAACAACAACACTGTTATGTTACACGTGGAGTAGAAAATGTCTATTTACTTCCACCAAAAACGCGGTATCCTAAGATACAAAAAAGTACTGTTCATTTTTGTGTTAAGGTCTTCAACCATCTACCTAATAGTTTGAAAATAAAGCCATCCACGGGATTCAAAAGCTATCTCAAACAACATCTTTTAGAACGAAACTTGTATTCGATAAATGATTTGTTTTCTGGAACCATTACAGTAGATTAAATCAGACTGTTTGAATATTATTTGACGTTTTCTGTGCATTTTTGTAAAGATGGAAATAAAGCTTATTATTATTATTATTATTCTTAATCAATCGTTTAAATCTCATAATAGAAAATTACAAATTAATTACATAAAATTATTAATTTGGAAGTTTACAATTTTTGTTAAAATAAATCATATCATACAATAATATCAATAATCATAACTGATGGAACGAGCTAAAGTCTCTTACAAAGTTATATTAAAGAAGTTTATTCATTAAAATAACGTGGTAAAACTGGTGACGCCAAATCGTGTTGTTAATTGTGAAAATGTTTACTCGGTTTAAAAAATTAGTTAATTTAGCTTTAGCAAAACAAGCTGCTTTCGTTGAAAACTCAGATCGGCCTGCTACGAGTAATGGTGCCTCAACAATTGGTGAGTTTACCTTTAATTATCGTTTACTCGATAAAGAAACCTCTTTAGTGTCATGATTTAAATTCATGTTGCAATTCTAC